GTAGAGGTAAGGACGAAACGTTTTGACTGCGAATAGAATGGCTAGAAGTTCCTTTTCGGTAGTTGAATAATTGCCTTCGGGACGGTTTAAAGTACGTGATGCATAAGCTATCGGTTTATCTTTGCCTACAGGACCTTGTGATAAGATTGCGCCTACGGCATAATTACTTGCATCTGTAGTTACTATGAACGGTTGAGAGAAATCTGGATATTGGAGCAGCGGAGCAGTGATTAATTTTTCTTTTAAAACATCGAAAGCAATTTGTTGTTCTTGAGACCAGTGGAAAGTAGTATCCTTTTTTAATAAAGAAGTAAGTGGTTTTGTCAGTTTAGAAAAATTATCAATAAATCGGCGATAATAGCCTATTAGGCCTAGGAAGGATTTAATTTCTTTAGGGCTCTTAGGAATTGGAAATTGTGACACTGCTTTTACTTTTTCTGGATTAGGAGAGACACCCTTATCGGTGATAATATGACCAAGATAAGTTACTTCACGTCTTAAAAATTCGCACTTATCTGGTTGCAATTTTAGATTGTATTCGCGCAGCTTATTGAATACTAGTTTTAATTTTTCCATATGTTCATTTAAATTATGACTATAAATTATGCAATCATCTAGATAAATATAACAGTGTAGACCTTGCAAACCTGATAAGACAGTATTCATCAGGCGCTGGAAGGTAGAAGGAGCGTTTTTTAAACCAAAGGGCATTCTAGTGAATTCGTAGTGACCAGACATGCTCGAATTAGTACTTATAGTAAATCCCGTTTTTGGGGCATCTTTAGGATCCATCTTTATTTGGTGGAAACCGCTAGCAAGATCAAGGGTTGTGAAATACTTGGAATGGCCTAATTGGTCTAGGATATCAGTGATAAGAGGCAGGGGATAACTTTCAGAAACTGTGATATCATTAAGACGGCGATAGTCAATGACTATTCTCCACTTTCTTTTGCCAGAAGCGTCTAATTTTTTCGGGACTACCCATACAGGGGCGCTCCAAGGCGAAACAGAGGGACGAATTATGTTTTGATTTAGCATTTTGCGAATTTGTGTATCGACTTCTTCCTTATGACACTCAGGGAAGCGATATGATTTTACGTGAACTGGGGCCGCGTTACCCGTATCTATGGAATGTTGGATGCCATTCGTAAACGAAAGGGGTTCACCTTCGAGGTGAAAGATATCCGTATAATCGGAACAGCAATTTAAAAGTGCTTTCTTTTCTTCATCGTTGAGATGGGAGCAGCGTAAAAGACTTAATACTCGATCTATTCGATTAGATTTAGAAGTAGAAATAGAATACAAACATTTACTAGATATTGGATTTTCGCAGGAAATAGAATTATTATAATCGATCGGTGTCAATTCTACGAAATATTCTTTAATTTCTAAGTCTGTGTCAGTCGTGTTTAAAACGGTGATGTTAACTTTTTTGTTTGGTTTTATTGACACAATACAATTCGCGACGTAAATACCCTCGCTTAAAGTATGATCTAGAACTAAGCCTTCATTATTGTGATAAAGCTCGACCGAGTAATTTGATATAGCGCATTCAATGACGGCTTCTGAGCGTGCCGGAACGATGTATGTTGGCTGATGAAATATAATGGGAACTTGGTAACCACACAGAGTCATTATCTTAGAGCTATAATCTATATTAGCATTAAAATATTTAAGAAAATCTGTACCAATAATACCGTCGTAATTAAGATTTATATTATCGTTAATAACGTAGAATTTATACTCGTAAGTTTCATCACTTAATAAAAATTGTAAGTAGATTGAGCCTAGCGTTTCGCAATATGTATCCGTATCATTTATACCTTTGATTCTTATTTTATCCTTAAGAAGTTCATGTTTCATTTTTAAACATGAGTGTTTGATGACACAGACACTCGCGCCGGTATCGATAAGAAGTTTGAGACACTTAGGAGAATATTTTGTAAATAAATTTGTATATGGTAACGAAACTTTGCATGTATTTATGCTCGTTTCAAAGATAGGAATAGAATTAGAATAAGATTCATTAAGACTCGGCTTAACCTCTTTGGGTTGCTGAGATGAAGATATAGTAAACGATTTAGTAGGACTCGGTTGTACCTTTTTGGTCAACTGAGATGCATAAGAACTAGCAAGACTCAGCTTCACCTCTTTGGGTTGCTGAGATGTAGATATAGTAAACCATTTAGTAGGACTCGGTTGTGCCTTTTTGGTCAACTGAGATGCATAAGAACTAGCAAGACTCAGCTTCACCTCTTTGGGTTGCTGAGATGTAATAGACTTATAATGACTCAGTTCCTCTTTGGGTAACTGAGATGTAAATGAGCTAGAATGACTCGGTCGCTTGCTAAAGCATTGCCGAGATGAGTTAGAATAAGAATTAGAATAAGATTTAGCATAAGGATTTTTATAAGATTTAGTAGAAAAAGTAGTATTAATTGTTTTCGTGTCGTTACGATAGTACGATTTCGGCAGACACGCATCCGAAATCTTATTCAGTTTAAAGAGTTAGAGTTATCGACAGCGTCGTCGTTATCACATGTCATGTGCATAGGCACAGAATTGGAACTAGAATTGGAAATAGGGTTACGACTTATAAAATTAGAATTATTATTTGGGCTACGATTTATATAATTAGAGTTATGATTAAAGTTTTTATTAAAATTTTGACGTTGTTGCATATTATATTGTCGCTTTCTACATTGATCAATAGTGTGCCCTATGTTTTTGCAATAATTACACATTAATTTACCAGAATTAGAACTAGATAAATGCGAAATTTGTTTATTATGATTATAATTAGAATGTTTTTTATTTTTAAAACATTGAATAGCAACATGGCCTACTTTATTACATATACTACACTGTTTTATTGAATTTTTTGAACACGTTTGGAGATTTTGTAATTTTTCCTCTTCTATCGCTAATTGAACAGCTTCATTTAGAGTTTGAGGGTTCCTACATCTAACAATAGTAGAAATAGCAGGATTTAACCCTAACAAAAATGTATTTAATGCTAGATCCTCCATGGCGGCTATTCTACCTGGAAGCTCATCAGCGTTTTTGCAACTATAGTGTATATCTGATTGAATTTTTGTTAAAATTTGTTCTAATTTTAAAGAAAACTTAGTGACGTCCTCGGATGACTGTTTACAGTTTTGCAAGTCTGATAGTAAATGTGTCGCGTGTTTTTTCTCCCCAAAAGTAGAACGGAGAAATGATTTTATTTGATTCCATGTTTCAAAGGTTTTTAAACTACATGCAACTTGTGCTTTTCCCTCTAGTTGTGAGATGATGAATTTGCACAGAATAGGTTGTTGTTCTGGTGTAGCTAACGACATTGCATTGTCGCAGTTTGTAAGAAAAGCGGGTAGGGAATCTTTCTCCCCATTATAGGATTTTATAAATTTCGTCAAGAATGAAAGCGTGATTCTTTCCGACATATTTTCTTTACCTTTTTCTGCTTTAAGCGACATAGAATTAAATTTTAAATATTAAACTTATATAAAATAATCACAATAAAACAACGTAAAAGATTGGTAATAGTACAGAAACAGTGTAAAATAAAAGTAAATTTTAAATTTAAACAGAATACAAAATGACTTACAGAATGGTAATAATTTCTACACGTAGCATTTAAGCGTCGTAACAATAGCTAGGTGAAACGTTACACTCGTGGCGGCTGGCAGGCGAGATCGCTGACGCGGTGACTCCGTCACGTCGTGGGAAATAGCAGGACCGGAAGGCGTAGAAAGTTCTTGAAATAATTTTTGTTGGTGAGTTAGATCCAGCTGGTGCGGGCTCCTGGTGGAGACTTATCGTCGGCCAGACGGGAGATTTCAGGACCAGGTGTAAGTGGAGCGGGCTCACGCTTCAGAGCGGAGGCTGATCGTCGTCCAAAATTGTGGTAGGTGCAGGCTTAGGCACGGCTAAGGCTTAATGTCGACCTTGATGATTTCGGGGACCTCGGATTCGGATGCCAATGTCTTCAATGACTTTCTGTTTGGCATCCCACTTCTGACACCAATTTGTTAGGAGGCCGATCCCGTTTGACTTTTTAAAAAAAAACCACAAAGTAAACCTAAGGGTTTATTATAAAAAGTTTACACACACAATTAATATTAACCCTGACTTCCGAACTCTAATACGTATCGGAATCTATGTCCGATCTACCCGGGGCTCTGAATCTAACTAACTGTAAAATGGAATGAAATTAATATGGAAAAGAACAATACAATTACTGATTGACGTCATATATAGGAAAAGTACCGTGGGATTGAATAAATGCTTACTAAGATTTAACTGCGTTGTAAAAAGGGATATAACAGTACGAAAAGTTTCTCGCGCTAAATTCATGCTGACGTGTGACACAGACAATTTTCAATTTGCCCCGCCAAATCGCAAACAAATGAAAATTAATATATTTTTTTTATAGGATAAGGATGACAAACGAGCACACAGTCCACCTGATGGTAAGTGGTTGCTGCGGCCCATAGACATCTACATCTATCCTCTGTTACAAATCAAAATGTAGATGCGTTGTCACCCGTGAGTACTAAGATGGAATGCCTCATTTCCAGTAAAAAGGGCCTCCGGCCACCTGCACTCACCACCAAGCGAAACGCAGAGGTAAACCTCTACTTCACGCTGGTATTCTGTGAGGTCGTGGTACCACCCCGGTTCGAGAAATAAAATAATTAACAAATTAATAAAATACATACACAAAAGTATTGGCAAAGAGTTCCATTTTCAAAATTTCAACAATTTTTTTTATTATATCGTTTTCAAGTGGCCAGTTCTAAAACACCCAGTGTCGCCCTCGTATGTTATTTGCGGAAATCAATTACATTAAAGACGTTAAAAATTAATTAGCTAAGGATCCGCGTTAAAAATTAAAATGATGTCTTACCTAGTTTGAAGATAATTCTACTATCATTCACTGGCAATATTTTTTATGATATACATAGTTTTTTAAACGTCTTTACAAATTTTTTTTGTAGGCGCTCTTAATGTCGACAGGCCAAACATCAGTCCTGGAAACGGAAAATGGTATTAATAAATTTGTCATGAAGAAAGAAATGGAACGTCAAGAGAAATTACTTGACGAACAGAGAAAAGTGAGCTTTATTCTTGATATTATATCAGTTATTAGTGTCAAATTATCATAGTAGGTACTTATTGTGCAAGCATATCAACATTTGGTCTTTAATTGTATTTATTCATCAAAACATTAAATCAATTTTACAACAAAATATCAGTAGGCCATGAATTCAACAATGTTCCTTAATATAATGGAAAAGTCCGGAACTCCACAAGCTACATTACTACTGTTCAAAGTGAATTTCACTATTCTAAACCGTCCCGTTCATTCATATATTTTTTTTATTTTATTAATTATTTGACAATTTATTTTTGGGTAACAAAATATGAATCACCGATATCAAGCGGTCATAAAAAAATTCGTGTTAATTAAACAGAAACATTTTTTTGTAGCTTTAAACGATATATGTGTTTCGGTAATTAATAAATTTAATTTGATTATTCAAAAAATTACATGAGCATTCGAGGTCTGCAGTTTTGGATTACCCATTTTTTTTAATTTACAGGCCCTTTCTGAAGTTGAATGGCCATTTTTACCGCGTGTGTGTAAAGTAGACATGTCCATAGTCGAAAAACTCCGCGATGAAGCTGACAAGCATCTCGCTAGAAGAAACCTGTGAGTATTATTATATCGAATTTTAAACTTTGTAGCAAATACAATTAGTAACCAAGACGGAAAAAGAATGGATCTATTATATATTAGGTAAATGTCATTAAGTCTATATCTCCAATAATTTCTTGAGCGTCTTTGAGCTTCCGTTTGAATATGTCGATTTAATTTAATTCTTGGCCGAATTTGGACTTGCATATTAGAACAATTAAAAAAATACTCCTGCCATTGAGTTATATGTACTACGTACTAGAGGAGACGCCTCAACTCGATTGTTTGTAACAAGAGTTTGAGTGCGCGCTCTCCAACTCACTTAGTCTGTGTCAAGCGGTTGCTGGAACGTGAGACGTTTGAGTGAAGAATTTTTTTAAATTAATTATGCCTTCATAAGCATTGGGATACTGTTCAAACAACTCGAGAAACATAAGTAAAAGTCAAGGAGTGACTTTTCACCGGTAAGTTCAACATATTATTATCTTTAAAACATGGTTAATTTAATTATATTTTATCAACTGCAACATACACGTGAATGTCAAAGATTAAAACATTTTTATGCACAGACATGACATTATCGACATATAATGTTAAGTAAATATGACCAGTAAAATATTAATATATAATCACGGTAGGAAATGTTAATGCATTAAAATTAATATTTTCTCAGCCGTTTCATGAAACAAAAGAATCATGGATCAAATTTGTTCAGACAAATTGCAGCGAAGAAACGTGGTTACCGTCAAATTATTCAAGTATATGTTCCGTGCATTTAAAAGGCAACTACAAATACACCACAAAAACAGGAAGAGTGTACTTAAAGAAATCTGCAGTACCATCATCATCATCATAATCATTATTACAGCCCTTCACAAGTCCACTGACAAACATAGGCCTCCCCCAAAGAATGCCGTAAAGCACGATCCAGAGCCACCTGAATCCATTCACGTCTTGCATGACCAGATCGTCACACATCTAGTGGGGGGACGCCCTACATTTCGCCTGCCGGTACGAAGTTGCCAGTCGAGAACCTTTCTTCCTGTTTCTTCCCCATCGGTTGTCGATTCTTCAAGCTATATGGCCGGCCCATTGCCACTTCACCATACTAATTCTTCGGGCTATGTCAGTTACTCTGGTTCTACTGTGGATATATGATAACGTAATTATATTATTTATATATATGAACGATTTTTTGTAATGTTCAGTATATTTACGAGACATAAGAGAGGCGGAACCTTCGGCGCGCGAGTCATACTAGTATATGGCCGTTTATTAATATTGTAACGCTAGAATTTTTACAGGCTTCCCAAATAACTAGTTTTTTTTTAATGATCTTTAATGAAAAAGAATAAACAGAGCACGCATTATTTATTATATACTGCATGCACCTTTAATTATTCTCCAGCTGCGTATAAATACGTAAGAGAATGCTAGAAAAGTAATAATAATGATCTTCGATAATAAATGTATATTTTTATATTTTACATATTTACTTTTTAAAATAAAATATCACTAAAATATAATTCTGACATAATATATATTATATTATATTAAATTAACACATATGCAAAATAAATAACAATTAAAAAAATTGTACTCGATATAAATAACAATACAATCTAAATAAACAATTACTTATTACATACTGATCATTCTACCTACGTATAATCTATGATGACAAAAACTGCGCATGCGCGACTCTACTATCTCCCGCGCATGCGCGAAGACATAGAGTAGCGCACATTTTTTGTTTGGTATAGCTTCTCTAGTACGTAGTACATATAACTCAATGTACTCCTGCACTAGAATTTTCCCCTGTATCGTAGAGGCAGTTACATAAATTTCACAAACATCATTTAAAGGTCGGCAACGCATCTGCAATTTCCCTGGTGTTGCAGTTGTTGAGCCGCATGCTCGTTTGCCCCCTCTCCTATAAAAAAAATCCCGAAACAAATATTTGATATCCATACAAAAATACTTGTTCCGTGCGGAGTTTGAACCTGTGGCTCTCAGGCACTGAGCATCAACTTGTTGCTTAACCACTGCGCCACAGACCCGTCAAATTGTCCTACGTAAATATATATTTTTACAACTCTTAGTAGTGTAGTATTCCCAACAACTACCAGCCTAGATCTAGATGTGATATGGACGTTTGGAGATGTTCTTCATCTTATTGTTGTGTTCGTCGTAGAGCTACATAATCGAGATCATTGATCATTTTGCTCCTGCCTGTATACGATATTGATGTTGATACCGTACGCTTTCTTAAAGTGTTTCGACTACATAATGTCATCCTGTACTACTGTAGTTGGATAGATTTCTGAGTCAGGCCTATACTATGTTCAGCAGTAGACTTGTGAAGGGCTGTAATGATGATGATGATAATGATGACCTGCTATTAAACGGACCTCGGGTCCGCACTCAAAAGTGTCCGAGCCAAAAGAGTTCCAATCGCTCGCTAGTCTTCGTTTTGTCGACTGACTTAATACACGTCTATAATGCCGTACTGTATTTTGAAAACGTGCAAAAACTACTTTAGTAAAGTCAGAAAAGAGGATGGTGTATCATAATTTCGATAAGTACTATTAATATTTAATCATTTAAAAGTAATATTTTACTTAGATACATAGTATTTAATTTAAATTCATATTGATTGTAAAAACAAATAACCATACTGATAATTTTCGTTACAAGCTGCGTAAGGTAAAAATTGTGCGGCCTCTAGTCGAAGTTAATAGGCTTAAATTATGGTTTGAATTGGGATGTTATATTTTTTCATATTTTTATACACGTACTTATGCCGTCCAATTAGTAGGTCAATGTTGTCAAGTGGTGAATTAAAAATTTTGTACAAACGACTTCAATATGAATATAATTTATTGTTGATTTTTTTATAACCCCTCGACCGATTTCGATAAAATTTAAATAGTACTACCTGGGAAGTAAATCCTTTAATACAAGAAAAGAATTTCTCAAATCGGTTCAGGCATCTTCGAGTAATCGGTGAACATACATACATAAAAAAAAGATTCCGACGAATTGAGAACCTCCTCCTTTTTTGAAGTCGTTTGAAAAACCTGCAACCTTTGTACATATGTTTATTTTATTTAAATAGACTAAAATAATAACATTAAATAAACTCGTCGTTTAGTGGCGCGTAAGAGAGTCAATTACCCATTGTCTACCCATGGGTGTCGTAACAGGCGACGGAGTAATATGAAACAAGATATGGACAGTATCTTTCTGGTAACAACTCAAAATTATAAAAAACTGCGGTTGCCGATCACCTGCCAAATGCAGCAAATATGGCAAAGTTACCTCCCTACAAGACTATCTATGGGGTAAACCTATGTGATGGGCTGTAATGATGATGATATTATAAAAATTGTTATTCCGTTATAATTTCCATGTCGATGCATATTAGGATTTTAGTCAAAGGGTTTAGACCCTTATTGTGAATAAGCCAAACCTTAGGGTTTAGCTTCTTCACAATAATACTAATATTTTAGGAGTTATCAAAAAGCCCAGGAATATATTCATCGCGGGATGACTGAGGCAGCAGCCTACTATTCGGAGTTCGCTGCTCTACACAAGCAGAAATATGAACAGGCCAATAGCTTAGCTGCCGCTTCTCTTATACAGGTAAGTTGATTGCAAGTAAAACAATCTCTATGAATAAAGAAAAAAAAAAAGTAACGTAAACGTAACGTACGTAATAGATAATTTTAAACCGTGTCGAGGTAACGTAGGGATACCTCAAAATGTTGTATTTATAAACAGTTGTAGAATAACCAGACCGATGAAAAAAGCACTCTCAAATTTGCGAGGTGTTTGCGATCGAAATAATATTGAATAGCAGCAAAATTAAAACATTTTTATGTGTTTATATTTTTGGTTTTATTGACATGCACTTTGCGTTTCCGAGATTGCTAAATTGCTTAAGAAGAAGTTTTTCTTGTACACGTAAAGCTGACTTGCGAGCCATTTTTTATAGTTAATTCGCTTAACGTCTATTCCTAAATCAAAAATATTGTAATGGCGTCTTATTATATTTCTTTACTAATCACTGTCTGTGTCAGTTTCGAGCTAATTTTGTGTTTCAAAATAACGAATATTATAAAGAAGTCAATACCTACACAAAATAAAACCAATATAGCGAATAAAACTTCAAACCTCGCAAACAACTCGACATTGTCACCTGTTGTCGACTATTTTTGACACCATAATACGAAAAAAGCGAGTGGACATGATATAACCTTTTACATCGTACCATAATAGAACAATATTTATTTGCCGGTCACACATCACATTTGTTCATCATTCTTTCTGCTACTCGCGTAGTATTTATTCCAAGCGTAGCTATAATTTAGATTACACGGAAGAACGATACACGATTTTACTCGAGATTTCGATACTGCGGGACCTCTATGTGCAAGGTCCGTATCACAAATAAGGAGGTTCTTAAAACCTTGCGGTGTCTAGACGTGAATGAAGCTAGTGGACCAGATGGTATACCAGCTATAGTTCTACAGGCTTGTGTACCTGAGTTGTCTCTTGTGCTGACACGCTTGTTCCGCCTCTCATTTAGGATTGGAATAGTGCCAAAATCCTGGAAGCTGGCCAACGTGCAGCCTGTTCCAAAAAGGCAGCCGTGCCGACCCTGCCAATTATCGGCCAATCTCAATTACCTCCATACTCTGCAAGAGTATGGAGGTAATTGAGGTAATAAAAGAGTTTGGCACACTAGCCTTTTACATAAGCTTCCAGCGTACGGCTTATCCCCTGGTGATTGACTGGGTAAAGGACTCTAAGTGAACGGTCTCTCCGTGTCGTTGTCGATGGCTCATCCGATCCTGTTGCGACTAACGCCGGTGTTCCTCAGGGGTCCGTCCTCTCCGCAACTCTCTTCCTGTTGCATATTAATGATCTGCTTATGCCCGGTATCGTATATCGTAGGAATATGGGTATGCAGACGATAGCACAGTTGTGGAGAGATACCAACCAAGTCCTCAGGCTAGTCGAGCTCAAATCTATGGTAGAGCGTGTGGATCTCACACTACAGGCAGTCTCCGAATGGGGCGATGCCAATCTTGTGAAATTCAATGCCTCCAATCAAAGCGTGTTTTTTCACTGCAGAAAGGAGCCAGCTCACCTTGACTCTTTCTTTCCGAAATGTATCACTGGAGTACACCGACCACCTTCAGTTGTTGGGGATTGAGATATCCTCAAATATAAACTTCGGGTGGTTCATTGAGTCCAAGGCCAAAGCAGCTGCAAGGAAGCTGCTTACTTTATATAACGCGCAAGTTCGGTCGTGCATGGAGTATTGCTGCCATATATGGGCTGGTGCTGCAAAATGCCACCTAGCAGCTTTGGACTCAATGGAAAGACGTGCTAAGAGGCTTATTGGTGACTCGAATTTGGTTAAATGTGGTTAAAACAAATCTTAACAGTCTCGAACATAAGCGCAAAGTAGCCAGCCTTTCAGTCTTCTACAGAATGCATTTCGGAGAATGTGCCGGACGGGCGTAACTCTCCGGAGTAAATGTTGTCGACGATACTCCGCGAGTCGCTGACGTCCTACACCTATAGGTTCCGGAGGATACTTTCACTACCGTCTCTGTGTGTGCTGCTGGAAAACTGTGGACTGAGGTTCAAAATTAAAATGCACGATTTATAAATTAAAATAGCAAGGGAGTGGCCAGCGGGTCGACTGATTAATTAGTCGCGAAATTTTATAACTATTATTTATTGACCACGGTTGTTGAACACGGTTGTTCAACTACGGTTGTTCACTATTGGTTGGTCACTATATATTTCAAAAGATTCAATTAAAATGTGCGGTAGTATTAAAATTTCTATTGGTATTAAAATATCTATTGGTAGTATCAAAATATCTATTGGTAGTATCAAAATATCTATTGGTAGTATCAAAATATCTATTGGTAGTATCAAATATCTATTGGTAGTATCAAATATCTATTGGTAGTATTAAAATATCTATTGGTAGTAGCTGGTTTTCTAACACTACTGAACTAACTTTCTAATCAACTAAAACTAGTTGATTTTATCACTTGTGTAACTGCGAATATCAGTTGCCACCTTTAACGTCTAGCTAACACTTTTCACTATATGTAACGGCGAATTTTCCGTTACCACTTTTTTCGGGTAGCTAACACTTTTTGACTATATGTACTGCGAATTTTCAGTTACCACTTTTTTCGGCTAGCTAACACTTTTTTACTATATGTAACTGCGAATTTTCCGTTACCACTTTTTTCGGCTAGCTAACACTTTTTTACTATATGTAACTGCGAATTTTCAGTTACCACTTTTTACGGCTAGCTAACACTTTTTACTATATGCAACTGCGAATTTTCAGTTGCCACTTTTTTCGGCTATGTGTAACTGCGATTTTCAGTTACGACCTTTTTCGGCTAGCTAAACTTTTTCTAATTCACTATTACTGTTCACTATGTTCTGCTACTAGTCACTTCAGCTACTACCGGATACTACTGCTTGTCACTGGTAGTTCTTCCTACTACAACGTTACTGGGATTTGCCCCCATAAGGTAGATTTCGGCTATACTGTATAGTGAGCCGCTTGCCATTTTCCGTTTTGCCTCTTTATTTTAAAACATTTTCACTATGTAATTAGCACAAATTGCAAAATTTTTTATACAACACTAATTTTTACACTAACACGCTATACATAATTAAATAGGCATTTTGGTCCTTTATCAGTATGTGATAAAGGTTATTCAATATATTTACATTTAAAAAAGTTATTAAACGAAATGTCCCAAATTTTCACAACAAATAGGTACATTAATTCTTTAATTTTTCTATATTTAACAAATGCGTTTAATTATACAAATTATTTCTTTACTATCGTAATCTATATACCATATGCTAATTGCTAACTAAATATCATATTTACAAGTCTTTTAGAACACAAAAATATTCTCATTATTTTCAGTACAAACTATTGCTCAGTTAATTAAACTTCCAGAAAGTTCTACGATGTGACGCCCTGTGATTGGTTGATTTTTTCTTAAATGCTTAAAGTTGTTTATATCAACTATTATTAAAACGACATTCTATACAAATATATTAAGAGTTGTAAACACACTGTAAAACCATATTAATACACAATCTGCTCGATTTCGTTGCTAATTTCACTTTTTATACAAAACAATATTCTTTCATTACTTTTTTCTTAAAGTCTTTAAGCCGTCGCGAACAGAGAGTGTGCGCAGGAATTGCATAATTTAATTCCTCCCTCTCCCTTCCACCATCGGCAAACCAGACGTTCGGCCAGTCTCCACCCCTTCGTTGTTGACTTACCACGCATTCGAACCAAACGGTTTGCTACATTGTATCATGCGTACAGCAAAGGACTGGAATAAGTTGCCAGCATCTGTGTTTCCATCCGAATATAATGTGGGTGTCTTCAAGACAAGAGTGAATAGGCTTTTGTTAAATCAGCGCGCTTCACCATATTAGGCTACATCACCACTTACCATCAGATGGGATCGTAGTTAAGCGCTGGCTTAGAATAATATAAAAAAAATTAAATTGTGGAATGGCTAATCCCTGGTATCGAGTATAATTTTTTTTTCGAAATTTGATCGAATCCACCCAAAGGGACTGTAAATAAATACTGCAGCTACTTTGTTTGCTAAAGTAACAATAATGCTTTTTTATGTTAGCGCTTTGTTTCTTTTCAGCTTTAGCGAAAGGAATCCTGGCCTGCTTGCAGCTAGAGTGAGTGCTGATGATAAATTAACTCACCAAATCGGCTAGTATCAAAATCACCCCAGTAGGGGGAGCTACCACGTGCAGTGGTTGCCAAATGGACATTATTATTACACTTATGGGTACTACTACAGCTACTGTCAATACATACCAAATTGTTACGTACCAAATTGTTACGTACCAAATTGTTACGTACCAAATTGTTACGTACCAAATTGTTACGTGCATTATTTTTATTATTATCATTATTTGTATTGGCCCCGCTAAAGGCCATATGATGATGAGATACTTGCTATTATGTAGAGTATTGAATAAAATTTAAAAGATAATGAAAGTTGTAAAAATGATGTCAATTTAATGGTTACACAGCAGTGATGTGAGTAACAGACTTACACTTACACTGTCATAGCTCCTAAACTATCTAACTCAGAGTTAAGATTTAAATGTGCATTTATAGCAAATATCCTGTATTATAATAAAAACAAGTAAAAAAAATTGGTTAACATGATGGTTTTTTTTTTAAAGCTAAGAATCTGAAAAACAACATCAATTTGTTGTCTAATTTATTTTTTCAAAAATGTTTTTTATTAATACTGAAAAATTAAAAAATAATATTTTGAATCTAGATTTATTGTCTACACTATTAACTAACATTTGAGACCAATTTTGTTTTTGAAAGTCTTCTACTTGGGTAGATATTGTTAAATTAATACAAGCATCTATGCTTCGCCAACAATTTTTTTTAAAGTGCTGCCATTTTTTTTATTGATGGCGAAAAAAAATCATTGATCCCTGATTTGTCGATAAAATTAATTGTATTTTAACCCCTTAAAGTATCGGACATCGGAAACCGGACACATTGTATATTTATTAAGACATTTTACGTTTTTTAAAAATTGGCACAAGAAAAAAAAATTAAATTAAAAAGCGAGGTGATATTTTGGCGAATTTATGCGTGGACGCGCACCATTTTGTAGCTTGTTTTTTTTTTACTAGGAATGGTTAATGAGACTTGGTCTATGGAATATATTGTAGGGATTATTTGTGAGACTGACAATAAAAGCGTTTTGCAAACTATAAAGAGAAAGATATTTACATGTACATGCGTCATATAAATTTTATAAACATAAAATCTTAGGTTTTCCATGCAACCTTTGTAGAAATATTTTGTGTTGAGTACTATATATAGTTATATTTTTAATTACTGTTTCATACTTCACATCATGTTACCTGTTGACGATTTCTTTTAGAATATGGAATGAATAGGTTATTGCCGGGATTTTTTATTTTACTGGTATTTTTTGCTCAATGTGTATTTTTAGTGTTTAATACTACAGTGATTTAAGTAAAATAACAGATTATGTAAATTTGACATATTTGGTAGATTATTTTAACTTTTCTAAAATTACTTTCGTTTTCAGTAATGATTAACCATTTAGAAGATTCCAATAAGCACCACCAGATTTTTATTACCTCCTATCTATTGTTTAAATTTCGTAGGTGTTGTTTAAATTTTAGATCATAAGTGTTTTATCCGTGATGTTAACAGGGTTTCATTTGTTTTAAACATATATCATAGCGTTATAGTACGTATTTCATTGTTTCTTTAATTTTGTTTGAGATTAATTATGAACAATTCATGTTTTTTATGTTTAAGATAAATGTTTCCCATAAATATGTTTGTATTACAACAGCTGTATAACAGCGCACAAAACCAAAATATTCTTACATAATTTTGCAAATAAAATGTTGTTTTACACATATTTAAATTATGATATAAATTAAATAATAATTAATTTTAGTAACATAACAAGCTATTTATTGATTTGGAAACCCTGTTAGTCATGTTTTTTAAATTAAGTCTACGGGCCAAGAGGTATGATTTGAATATAAAATAATATAAGTTACCATGTAAATAATGACACTATATTGATTGAATTTAGCATATCGTAGTGTATATAAGTGTTCTGTTCGCGAATACAATCGGAGACATACTTTAGTGTAATTGATACTTTAGAAATAGTTTTTATTCTTTAGACTAGTTAGCGGCTAAATATATGAATGTAAGTTGTGTCAAGTACTATAAGCTATAATGTGCCATATGTCAATCGCAATTAGGCATGTTTTTCTTGTGCGATTTTATGTATGATGCATATTTTTAAGTACACATAAATGAGTGACATTAGAAGTTGTGAGTGTTCACCCTAATTACGACTGCATTTGTAGTGGTCATGGGTCCAAATAACTAAGAACTAGTATTACAGAAGAAGGGTATCAATGAGAAATATGTTTCAGAATGAATTTTGAATTTCCGATCAATGCCCATTATAAAGAACAGAACCAGGGATAGCTGCAATGAAAAACGGCACCTCTGATCATGACACTAACGGATTTTAAAATATGCCTGCTCTCGTGTCAAAGCATTGCTTATGCGCGGATATGGCTTTTAAACTGATCTGCTCTGCTACGCGGATTTGGATTTACGATCCATACATAATACAATCATATTAATCAATATCAATGTTTGTAGTTGGTAGTTGCAGTATCGTATAACTGTCGTGTAGTAGTACATACCAGTAGTCAATAGTAATATGTAGTCGTCTTGGTGACTGTAGTTTAGATCAACGTATTCGTAGGAATGTGCATATTTTTTTTCATCACTAAAGGAGAACTTTGGGAGTGAATAAAGAAGAACCTAAGTACTAAAAAAACGTGTGCAGTTCATACGGTAGAATTAAAACTTTTGGAAAACTATACTTTGAGAGAATGAGAATTGAGAATGAGAAGAATTGGATAATTGTAAGGTTTATTTATTATAATATTGTTACCAAGTTTAAAAATTATTTTACATTTTTTTATACGGTCTTCAAGTTTCCAATTTCAACAAATGATACGAGTGGCTTATGGTAACTAAAGTGGATAATAAATAAATGGAGACACTGTATACTGTATTCTATCTCATTTTCAGGCAGGCTAAATTCTATAGATGTATTGATGTTTGTCTCTTTTTGGTGTCGCTTTTTCGTTTTATCGAGTTTGAAATCACAACGATTCTAAAAAAGTTTTCACTTTAAAAACCTTTTCGAGTGATAATGTAAATATTTCTATAGTGCATACTTCAATGGAGGCCTAATAATCTTCCGATCAACTTATGTCGCTAGTTGGAACTGAGCTGATTTTTTTTGTTACACTATGCTATTTAATTGAAAAGTTTATTTTAAATGAAATTTTATCACTTTTAGAGTAATATAATAGTACACAAAAGAATGTATCAGTGGTTTGCTTTCTAATTTTTTGCACACTAACTATTTTATTTTTATTAATTTTCTACTTTTAGGACTATCCGTAGTTTGCTTTATTAAATTATTTTTAATCAAATTAATATAAAATATAACTACTATTACAGAAATAAACATTAACCCTTATACCGGGTGTCCGGTGGCAGAATTAGGATTTCAAAATTAAATAATAAAAAAACTGCAAAATATTTTTTTTTATTTCAATGACTATAACAAAGAAGGGAAGTGCGGGTTTTATTTCTTAAAAATTATTTCGTCTAAATGTTGACCATCACGTCGGACACACTCTTGGAATCTGGCTTCAGTATTGCGCGCCACTCGCTGGAGAAGGGACGTCGGGATGCCATTAACCTCGCGAACGATATTTTCTTTTAATGCTGAGATGGTCGGTGGGGCGGTTTCATAAACTTTACTTTTGAGGTACCCCCACAGAAAAAAGTCCATGGGGGTAAGATCCGGCGACCTGGGTGGCCAGGGGATGTCAGCAAAACGGCTTATCAATTTGTTAGGGAACAAATCACGAAGAAGCGCCATGGTCTCTCTAGCAGTGTGAGGCGTGGCGCCATCTTGCTGAAACCATGTCTGTGAACTGTAGGCAGGATGTTCTCTTAATATTGGCAGGAAAAAATCGTTAAGCATTCGCCGATAAGAAACGCCGGTTACAGTAATGGCTTGTCCTTGACGATTTTCAAAAAAATAGGGTCCGATTATTCCTCTGCTTGACAATGCACACCAAACCGTCACTTTGGGACTGTGAAGTGGCTGTTGATGTTTCAATCGCGGGTTCTGTCCTTTAGGTGACCAATAACGGCAGTTCTGTTTATTTACACTTCCATTTAAATGAAAATGGGCTTCATCGCTCCAAAAGATTGTGTTCACTGTACGAAATCGCTGCAACATTGTTTCGCAGAAACTTTTGCGCCAATTGTAATCATTAGGCTTAAGCGCTTGCACAATTTGAATTTTAAAGGGGTGAAGTTTAAGGTCCTTTTTCAATATTTCGTGCACAATCGTTTTTGGGAGCCCTAGAGCAGCCGCTCTCTTACGCACGGACTGTCGCGGGTTATCGCGTAAACTGTTTGCGACAAGTTCGATGTTGTCATCAGTCCTCGACGTTCTGCTGGATCCCGGCCGCGGATTATTTGCTGCTGAACTTGTTTTTCTGAACCTCCGCACCCACAATCGAATCAAATTTTCGCTTGGCGCATCACGTAACCGTCGGATATTGTACCGCGAACAAAATCTTCGACGAGCAATAGCACAGGAATCGTTTGCTTTAAAATAAGCTTCGATTGCGAACGCACGTTGTTCACCCGTCCACTGCGACATCGTGACTAAGGAACCCGCACGAATGACGAATCGAACGTGACCCCCCCGCCCGCCCCTCCGCTAACGGTTCGAAAACAGTTCGAAATTTAAATCCTAATTCTGCCACCGGACACCCAGTATATTCCTAACAACTTTTTTTTAACTTCTTTGCCATGAAATCTGTCAAAAATTTCACCTCATTCCAAAACGGCGCCGCCCTGGTGGCAGAAAAAGTCGTGGATGTCCTCATTGTTTTAAAGTATCGATTCTTGTTTCTAAACAGAGCAATGTGTTGTTAGTTTGTAGAAACAAAAAATGGAGCTAGTAAAAAGTACTAGTATTGTGAATTCTGATGCCGAGCACTGTTATATTTGGTGGTTATGATTCGAGTTTAAAATTAAACGAATTAACGAAGCTTTAAGAATTAAAAGTATGTGGGATGAATGTGGAAGTTTTTAGACACACGTGTTGGGTAATAAACATTTAATTCTATCCCAGCTGCGGTGGCGAATCCCAAGTAGTTCAAACAGTTGATTCTGAATCCAAGATAGGAAATTCACATTTTCTTACGTGGTGGAGCCATGCTGCAGTTATATTATGGTTGTAGCACAAATGGGTCGGTTCGACTGGAGAAGGAGGGCGTAAAATAGCAGCTTAATACTGTTGTTCGTGTGCTGAGTATAGAGAATCAGAGCCATACACGTTTTTAAAAAAGAAAACATTTAAAATGGTTCCAAAACTACCGGTGCGCAATTCTTATTTAACGGTTAAAAATCTGGAACTAAACTGAAACTAAACTGAAACCTAAACCTAAATGAGAGCCATTAGGCATCATTACTAGTATATGGAGGGACGGTAACAAAATGATATTGAGGTGAAAGCTGTCACTAATTTCTGAGAATTATGGAGCAATTAGTTTGCCGCAGTTAGGGGTAATAATCTTCGAGTCTTCGACTCACCAGATGTCGCTAGTTAGGACAGGTGAAGTTTTTTTATACACAATGTTATTAAATTGAGAAGTTAGTTTCAAATAAAAGTTTATCAGTTTGTAGATTATTGTAATTAATACACAAAAAATTGCGTACATCGGTTTACAATATATTTTTTTTGCACATTTTTAACTTTAAAAAAAAAATCTACTTTTAGTAATATCTGTAGTTTGGTTTATTGATTTCTAATGAATGTAAATAGTACAGAAAGAAACACAAACCCTTATTTTTTTCTTATATATTAATTTTAACGCTATGAAATCTGTAAAATATTACACATTTCTAACTAGCGTCGCTCTGGTGCCAGAAAAATTCGTGGATGGCCTCATTAGTCCGCTCCAGTGCATTTGGCGGACTTATATGCCCTAGAAATATTTTCTTTCTCATATTTGAGTCGTGTAATTATAAATTTTTCTGTTATGATACGTTCGAAGCAATTGTCTGCATTAAGGCGTTCCTTACACGAAGCTTACCCAGCACGGGGCCACCACTCGAGAACTTTTCTTCCTCATCAGTTCTCGGTTCTTCGGGCCACTTCAGCTTACTAATTTGTTGCGCTATGTCGGTTACTCTGTTTCTGCTGCTGATATTCTCATGTTTAAGTCTGTCATGCAGATGAACTCCAAGCATATGCCTCTCCATAGCCACTGAGTGACATTGAGCTCTTCCCCATACGGCCAGCAGTGAAGGAGCAAGTCTCAGATCCATATGCCATCAATGGCAAACACGCGCTGGTTGTATACTCTTGTTTTCAAGTTTTGAGGTATACGTGACGAAAAGATGTTTTGTGATCTCCCGAACGCTGTCTGGTAACGACGACTAACCTGAGTGACGACATGGTAAGAGATGTACGAAGTTGATGGATGCAGGGTGGATAAAGATCATGCTCAGGAGCTGAACATAAGCCTATTTCAAGGAATGACACAACCCAAAATGATGATGATGATGAAAGCTAAACTACAAAACCACAAAGACTTCCGCCCTCAACTTAGAGTTTCATTAACTTGTTTAAGGGATGGGAATTATGAAACCTGTTTTTTATAACGGATACGCTATCTGGAACCGTGTATCTATATTTCAATGTAAACGAAAGAACTTTACGAATTTCGAAACCAGTAAACTATGCTTTGGAATGCTATATCAGCTGGAGTAGGCAATGAAATACGGTAATATTTGAAATGCTCTACTGATTCTAATCTCTATAAGA